TTTGACGTCTGTGTGAGTGACAAAGTCTACGTGAAGAACATTATAGTGGCAGCCATGCAGAACACATAGAAGCCAAGACATGTTAATTGATTTGACATAACAGCAGACTCTTTTCTCGTAAGAATCTAACCGCACAGTCTCACAAGAAATTGCAGAATATAGTGGGCCTTTATAACATATGCATGTATATGTTCGGAACAAGACACTAGAATGGGACAGCGCTGCTTTCTGTGTTTTAACTGAAGGAACTAGTATTAATCAGCTTTTATGATGAGTGAACTTGGGCAGTGTGTGTTGAATGTCTTGACCAAAGACACAACAATCACAATAGTATCCATAGTATCAAGCATAGAACCACCAGCTGTCCAGTTTATCCTCTTGCTTCACTGTCAAACAATACTATTATGTACTTTCTGCATGTGTCCCCATTCATTTTGGCATACCTTTGTTTTTGCTACCATATTTCTAAACCAACCTGTTTATTGCAGGATAGTGACTGCTTTCTGAAACAAGAAAGCAAAGTGAGGAAAGTGCAGTTTTCATAATCTTCTGCTGAATATAATCTGAAATGCAAAATAGCTTTGTTAAGTACATCTTAAGCAAATTCAGCCACATGTTTAATACAAAGAGCTTTCAAAAATTCCGGTATGCCCTAAGTCTAAAAATATCCCTTTGAAGGAAATCAACTCACTATATTCTAAAAGTCTCAGTTCACTTGGTGCTCTTTCTTCTGGTGAAGTTACTAGTAGTGGTGATAGTAGTTGAACCACTGATAAACATGTAACTAAATAGTCTTGATACAAACAACCCTCACTCTAGAATTATGCTATGATTCAACCATTTATCATAAGCTTAACTGTTTCCCACTTTTATGCATTTTAATAGCATGAGGAGGTGAGAACATTGCATATGAAAATCTGTAATGTTTTGCATTTGGCTTTGGGGAGGTAATAAATAACACCTGTAGGAAATGAGACCATGGCAGCAGCTCATCCTCTCCTTGCTAAAACCTGAAGGGATAGGCTTATAGAGGAGCTAAGCAAATATCAATAAGGCTGATTTAGACATTGCTATATACCACTCAAGGATAAACAGCTTATATGCACGGCAAGGAAATATACTCAGAGCCAACAGCTGGGAAAAAAATGCTGTGATTTCTTTGTAAATCATGAGATTAAAATTACATTGAATGTTTTAGGATGGCCAGATGATTCAGAAAAGCAGTGTCAGACATGAATTCATAGAACGAGATCAGAGGTGTTGAGGTGTTGAAGGGGGGAATGGTGATACTGTAGATAGCACAAAGCAGATGAAAAATAGTCAGAAGAATAGTCTCTCTAGCAACCTCCAAGTATCAGTTGTTATGGAACGGTGCTGCAGTCTTCAGTGGTAACTCATTTGGAGAGAAGTGTAAATTAAAATGCTTAAAGATCTTTTTATTATTATTATCATTATTTTATAATCAAATACATCCATAAAAAACATATAGAATTCTTTTCAGGTTTTAATGATGTAATAGTGTCCCATCATCATTCCCTTAATTCTTCAAAAAATTTTACTGCGACTGATTCGCGCATGTTTAAATAATCAAGTATTGTTATGCATTTTAGGCTTGAATGCTCAGAAAATCCTTGTTTTCACCTAACTCCTATCTCTACCCAAAATTCTGTATTAGATTCGATTAGTAAAGAAGTTTAGACTTTAAAAATGTCTCTTAATCATTTTTCTATAATAAATATACCTAATGGAAACTACTACATAAACTGCCACTGCAAAGAGGTTATGCAATTTACAAAATAAGTACAAATAAATAAATAACATTTAATTTCTTTATAAAGTGTTATATGTATGTCTTATTGCATGCTTGGTGAGTCACATTTTGGAAAATAGCTTTGATTGTGTGACATACAAATTTCTTTTTTTTTTATTTTTACATGAGAAAAAAATGGCATGTACATAAGTTTTATGAAAAATACAAGAAGTTACGTCAACTCCTGTTTTGCACCTTATCTCACTGGAGCTCAGTCTAACAGCTCAACAGTAAATTCAATATTGCTTATTTTCTTTTTCAATATGAACAGGAAGCAGGAGGAAACACGTCCTGCTCCTGGGCTCACAGTGCCATTTCCATGGCCAACCAAAGCTTGCTAAATGAAGGAATTATAGCCATGTAACAGAAGATGTGGATTTACAGCTTTACCAAAGAGATGAGGACAACATTTCCTCATTTGGATCATTACTTTTTATTACCTGTGTTCCTGGAAATTTATTTGTTTAGTGTTTTATAGTAGCGTGAAATGCACCACTTGTTTTTCAGGAACAAAATTGTCACTCTGGAAATGCACAAATCCATTATTGACCTTGGAACGCTTCTTTGCACTGGTAATTTCCAACTTCTCACAGATGTATTTATTTATTTAGCTTTTAGTGGGACAAAGTAAATTAATAAACATTATAATAATGTACCTGAATTAGCCAAAAGGTTAGCTTTAATTGGTAATCCCCCTTCCAGATGGGAATACACTCGCTTTCATATAAAAGGCAATTTATTAAAATACATACAACAGACACAGTTATATATTTATATGATAATAAGACTACAAGAAAAATAAGAATAAACTTTTAGTGCTCACATTTTTGTGATTCAATTAGCCACATTTTGGCATTTACTTTAAATGGGGCCTCTCTCTTGCTGCTTGTAGCATTGAGTTCCAGTGCTGTGAAACTGTGAAAGAGAACAGTCTGGCTGAATGCTGTTGTCCTCAGGGGGATGGTGCAGTCCTCTCTAGAGGTGCCTCTGGTGCGTCTGTTAGGCTGGACAGTGTCCAAATGGTCCATGGAAAAAATACAGTAACCCTAACTGACTGCTAAATAAAGATATAGATTAATGGTCATTCAAGTAGGCAGAATGTATTTTAATTGTTTGCATTAGTTTGTTGAGCCAGGAGAACATCAGGTTCATAGTCATGATGATGAGATTTAAGTTTATATATTTGCAATCACTGCTACTTAACAACAGAGGTAAGGAGAAATAGAGCAGGTGAATCAAAGATACATGGCATTGGCCTGGAGCTATTTATTGTGCAGTAATCAGCTTGTGCATCTCATTAATGCAGGATGACTCATGTCATTTGAATATACACCTCAGAAACATGGCCAAAAACATGAAGGGAACTGTAATGGCTCTAAGGATGACACTGCCTAAGAATCATTAGCACTTGTCAAGCCCAAATGTACTTCTGACAAGAAGTTACATAATACATAATGTATGAATGCCACACTGTAAATCAAATAGTCCTTTATTTTTTCTGCTTTAGACATCATTTAGAGATTTCACATCATTGCCTCCAGATCTATTTTACAAAAAGGCAGGTTATATTAGTTAAAACCTTTAGATTTGACATTTTCATCATTTTGGAATGGTGAAAGATTACGAAGTGAAAAGTGGGATAGCTCTTTCATGTGAAATTGGGTGTTCTTCAGTATGCAGGTGGGAAAGAAAATGTCACAGAATATATAGAATAAGCCAGTAATCCACTTATATGTGTGTGTGTTATTTTGTCACTTATTTTGCATGTTAATAATGTAAATAAAGCTCATTATGATACACAGTTGACCACTTGATTGACAGATAAGCCTGCAACTGACTAACAATGAAGAAAACCAAAAGTCTGTTTCAGTTACAGAATAATCACAAACTAGTGATTGCATCAGAAAAGGCATCTGGTGGGAAAACTATGGCAAAACACTGAGTTCTGCCTTATTTCCCTTTTCACTGAACCATGATTGTCTGAAACAGCAGTATGTGCCTCCCACATAAACAAGTACAAAAAGAACAAGGGATTAAATTACAGAACAGGCAGGTGTGCTCAGACATTTGACTGCTATTGTCCTTTTTTACACAATAACATAAATGTTTTGTTTTGTTACTTTTTTCTTTTCTTGCAAAAAAAAAAAACAAAACAAAAAAACAAAAAACAAAAACTGAAACCAGACTGTGGTGTATGATTAGCCACTCCACCCACAATATGTGAACAACTGAAGCTGTTGTTTTTCCTTCTGAAATCATCACTTACTTCATAAACTGTAGCAAACAATTTGGTATCCAGTGACTGGTGCCCAAATGGTTTGCTACAGTTTAGAGCTTTATAAACTATGCACAGGTCTGTAGAATACAGTTTGGTATAATAATACTGTCCCTTGCTGGTAGTGATGAAAACAAAGATTTAACACAAAGAAAGTAACAGAAAAAGTATAGGTAAAGTAGTTTGCTTGTGTCAGCAATGCAGAATGCAGTATAATATAGCCCTACTATCTGAGACTTATGGCTGACCTCAGCACTGCACCAGAACAGGATTGTCACTGGATATTACCACGTGGCCCAACGAGCTTCACCCCCCTACACTCTCACCACAGTGCACACCACACACTCCCAGCTCCACAGGGACTCTCTTCCAGCAACATGTCCATCTGTGGGCAAATCTACGGTCAGAGACATTCGCCATTAAAAATGAATAGTCTTAATAATGAATGGAGACTCCAAGAGACAGCATCTTCAAACATGAGTAGCACTGCCCATGACACCTGGCTGCTGCTTTTGACCAGTACACAAAGGTTTTAAGACATATGCAATGAAATTATGTGTAAATGATGTATGCATGTGCAAAGATAAATTGTGTGTTTAAAACTGTTGCAGAATGTTACATGGATAAAGAGGACGGATCAAGATACACACCAAACTGAATGAATCTTTTCCCTTCAGTAACCTTTTCTACAAAAATAACAAGTAAATTAAACATCTGAATATATTATTTTTATATTAAAACCTTTGTACAGTACAGCAGCTCTGATCATATGGACTGGCTTATCCCTTTATTCTTACTTTATATAATGAAGTTGCTACTGCATGATGTGTAATGAATGCTAAACCTAGAATAAGGTTGAAGATGCAGTGATAGCTTTCTTTTCATTCTTTTTAACAACTAAATGCTGCATAGTTTTCAGGCTATAGTTTCATCCAGTTCATCTATGGACACTTGCACAGATGAGTGACTAGGACTGGATCTGGTCTTGAGGCTGATGGATCCGTAAAGTTTGGCTGTACGTTTGGAGTATGCTATGACTTTCCGCCTGTACATCTCCCCTTTCCACATGGAGATCATGAGTAGCGTGGACAGCACCACTCCCCCTAGAGTCAGCAGACATAACCCGGCTATCACACAGCGGTCCAGGTGGGCTCCTATCCGTGCACTCTCTGTCTCCAACCTCTCCATCTCTCTGGCTGATACTGTGTCCCGATCTACTTCAACATCCCTCGGAACTACATAGGATATGATCACCAGAGAGATGCCAGTCACCAAAAAGGTGACCGCACTTATAAAACCGTAGTCTATGGAAGTCCCAGAACTGTCTCCAAATGACAAATCATCCTCAGACATACAGGAGAAGTCTGGCTGTGTTTCTGAACATGGTTCGCCGTTACGTGTGGTCCTATGTGTGCTTTTACAACTCGTTTCTGGGCTGGTCACTCGCAAATTTACATTCTCATCAACATACGTGAATGAAGTCTCAAGCTCCTCATCACAACAAACTCTTACTTTCTCCTCAACTCCTCCTGCTGTAGGCTTCCTCGTCCTTGTAAGTGAATGACACCGGACGTGGTTACAACTGCGGGGCACGCTGCATGAGCTCTCCCCTGGGATAGCTCCTGTTGACACGGCAGGCTTACAGACCAGCTTCGGGCCTGACATATGCTCAAGGACGTGGGAAGGATCAGGTTGTTTCCCCTCATCACGTGGGGGAAGTATCTCCGGCACTGGTGCTGCTGTTGTATTGGTGGTAGAGGTGGTTGTAGTAGCCATAGCTCTTCATTAGCTAAACTTTTGCCACCCATAAGCATCATCACAATACTGCATCCCTAGATTGGAACAAGAGGGGGCACACATGAGTTCAAGTTAAGTGGGGCATACAAATGAGATGATACACTGCTATAAAGAGGTAAACTGTGCAACAAGGAACATAATTGTTCACATTTCGAAATTAAAACCATGGCCTAATGGCATGTCATGTTAAAGGATTGAGGAATGGTTTGCCATTTGGCCAAATGCCCCATGACTTGTAATAAACACAATACAGCTAATTTGTGCTTAAATTTAATTTGCTAAATGTATTGCATCGTTACTTCTAACATGTAAACGGTTGCCTTCGGACTGTAAGAGGGTGGACCACATTCGCAAATCAAACAAACACGTTTTAAAAATACAATTACCCCTGCTGCAGCATGCTCCCTCGTATTGCATCCCCCAGTTCCCAGGCACCATGGCAGCTGTTCTAGCCAGCGAATATCATGTCTTCTGACGTTTTGATGCTTAGAAATATGTTTTTTTTGTCCGCATCCTCCTCCGTTCAGTTGCCTCTTCTTCGATGCTGTGTCAAGCAGGCTGCGTTTAGCGAAGCTCTCTCCTCCTGCGTAAAAGTCCCGCCCACACGATGCGCGCTCGGCTCCTTACACTGAGCCGCCGCTATCGGTAGCAGATTGTGATCACTACAACAGCCAGTCAGCCAGTCAACACGAAGCAGGATGGGGAAGACTCAAAGTGCTGAGTGGAGTGAGTGAGGGGGAGACGCTGCCTGTCTGGGAATCTCACGTTCATATATTACGGGCAGGATTTCCCATAGGAGCCATTTTAAAATATAAACCTGGACCTAATGCTGTTAGTAGGTCACTGGAGATCACGAGTAGGACTACGTAGACGAATGCATAAAGTTGCACTTGGACACCAGGTCGCTAGGTAGACTCTATTGCAGAATAAAACATCGATACTGTGCCATAAAATGTATAGCTATAAAAACAAAAACAAAAACTAAACTAAAAAAAAAAAAAAAAAAAGTGTATATGACACCCCTAAGCCTTTATTAAAGGCTACAGAAACAACAGCTATAACAGAAATAACAGAAAGAGTTTTTTAAAAGTTTAAACCTGGACTAACTGAAAGGCAAAATTGAGGGCCTTCACCATCTGAAAATTATAAATATCTGCCGTCATTTTATGAAAAAAAAAATAAATAAAAATATATTTTTTTTAAAAACATGCATAAAAGCCAGTGTGCCCTGCACCATCTGGTCTCATGTACTCTGTCAGAAGATTACAAGTGGTCACTATGTCAAAGCTAGTTTAATCCTTGTTTAATCTACAGATCTATCAAGCTCCTCTGATCTACTGACCACATCTTACTTGTACTTTCTTCCAAACATGCATGATACTGGACAAAATGTTAAAATAATTGATTTTGTCAATGAAAAAAGTAAAAATGGTTTCATTCTCAAATTTATTCTTGTGTGCATGCAACTACTACTACTACTACTACTACTACTACTACTACTACTACTGCTACTACTACTACTACTACTACTGCTACTACTACTACTACTACTACTACTACTACTACTACTACTACTATTACTACTACTACTACAGGTAAAGATTCCATCTTATTCAGTGCAACCAGGCAGCCATGATAAATATAGTGGCAACTTACTTCATCCACCCAGCCATAAGTGCCTGGATGGCTTTGGCTCATTTCCCAACAAGAGTCCATTTAACAGATGAGTGGGGACAGACGTGGAGAGACAAAGGAGACAGCTAAATATATTCCACTTTAGAAATAAACATGTGGGAAAGAGATACCACATATCCGTGTCATTGATGAATAAATTGCAAAGCCCCAAAATGTGTTTCAGATTTGGCCTTGATCTGAAACATAAAAAGGAATGTGGCATCAGCAGCAAATGATCATGCCAGTATCTATCTGCTACAGTGCACTTCTGCTGGCAAGGACAGCGGGCACACTGGAGAGAGCGGAAGTGGGCAAAGGGGAGTCTGCAGCCTGTAAATCTAGAGTCTGCTGCCACCAGTAACTACATGTGCCCAACACAGAGCCGAGATAAGGAGGAGGCTGCTGCTTCAGATGGGGCTGTGAAACAATGGTGATGATTAACTCAACAGAGACGGGGAAAAATAAAAAGGCTGTCTTATGTGGTATAGGCAGTGTTGGGAAGTGACTGAATACATGTACCAAAAATACATATTCAGAATACTTAAATTTGAGTTACAATATTCCAGTACAGTTATTTTTTTCATTTGGTTGTATTCAGAATACAATTACTTTCCAAAATATCCAAAAATACATGACGTTCAAAGAAATTTTAGCTTTGACCTGCACATAATTAAGAAAAAAAAAAAGAAAGAAAGAAAAAAACTCTGTTGAGTGTAGGTCCCTTCTCTAATTTAAAATAAATTAATGATTAACACAAAAATCAAGCCGATTGTAATTATGTGGTGGTATATTTAAATCAGAGTAAGTATTCAGAGTATTCAGAGTACAGTACTCTGAATACATTTTAATGCAGGTATTCAATATTCTGTAACTAAATAAATACATTTTCAAAGTATTCTTTCCATTACTGGGTATGGAAAGAATACTTATACTCTTGTAAGATGCAGTTTCATTCTATTAACACTGGCGATGCAGGTCAAAAATACAACAAAATCTAAAACATTAGCATCCAGCAAAGTAGCAACATACGACACTACACATTACTGAATTAAGAATACATTGAATGCAGATGGAAATGTCTAGAATTAAATTACATTCTATTTTTTTTTTTTTTTTTTTTTTTTAAGATTTTTTGTTTGTATAATCAGGCTGGATGCACCTCCTGATGCAACTCTCTTAGAACTGTTACAAACAGCATCCAGGCTTTTGATCTCGATGGATGACTGAATATAAAGCAAGTCCACAGCTTTATGAATACATCACATGATATTACATGTGTGTCTTCTGACCATCTATCTACCTGTACTTTTAGACACAGAGATGGGGACTTTTAAGGACAGGCCTCAAAGTTAAAATAAGCTTGGAGAATATCAATGACGCTGATGTGAAATGCCAGCAGATCCATATGAGAAGCTGACTTTGGAAGATATAAGGTGTCCAAGAAATACAAGTGTGCTGCCAGATCAATCAATATCCTAAATGCTCCAATGCTACATAGGGAGCAAAAGTGAAACATTAAAATGCTTGCTTGACTCCATGTTGTTTTTATTGCTTTGCCTGGAAAATTCTACAATTTGGCATGAAATATCAGTCTCCACTAGAACAAGTTACAGATCAGATCTGTGGTGAGGTGACACCGCTCACAGGAATCCTTAGTTTTGAGCATTTAAATGACTTGTAATTGATTACAATGGATAAGTCAGTGTAAGAGACTGGTGGAACCCCATGTTCAAATTTTTGCCCCCATTGTCAAAAAATAATCTGAGCAAAAAACTGATGAAATTAATTATACTTTATGATGGAAGGATTGTCTTAAACATATAGAAATAATTTAATCTGTATTTAGTGATTGTTTCATCAGAACCAAAAGGTCACCTCTACTGTATTCTCCAGACATTGTATTGAATACAATTATTAAAATAATATTAATACATCACTTGTGCTACAGTGGTCTTAACGTAAACTGGTGGGAACACTAAATAAGTCAAAAAGCATATTGTGGAACATGGAGATAAGCAGATGGCAGACTCTCCACCAGAAAAATGACATAGTTCACCTTTACAGCTGCAGTGTTAGAAAGGCAGAGAAATCTATTGTACAGTTCTCATTTACATTTTGGATGGTCTTTCATACATAAAACAGGGAGCATGTGAGGTCTGTGGGAGGGGGCATTGTGGATTATTTTTAAGAAAGCCTACGCAGACAGTCCCTTGGGTCTGTTTGGGATGTCTAACACGCAGCCTTTGAGTCAGTCTCTTAGTGAATGACAAAGCAATCTTAACAGTTTTATTTTTCAGGGATGTAAAGCAGACAGTTGTATTAAATATTCACCATTTTGTCCTTTGAGTCCATTTATAGTGATTTATTTGATGTGATGAGACCACTTTCTCGAGGATTAATGTTGCCTCATTTGTATGTAGTGATTTATGCATCACAGTGAGATAAGACCGTCTTTAAAAGCATTGGATACTCAGTTTCACCAGTTCTCTCCTTTATTGTCCCTTTATTTTAATTACTGCGATATTATGCCCACGGCAGCCCAGTAAATGCTGTGTTCTGCATTGCTGTCAAATAGCCTATAGTCATTATCTCATTAGTCCAATATGCAGTACCTTCATCATATTGCTATAAGGTTGTGTTTTCCACTGAACTTCTCTTTTTTAAAGTTAGAAAAATAAGTAAGGAATTGTTCTGTCATGATTCTCTGGACATCCGTGCCTAAACGAAATGCATTTTGTTCATTAACTGAATGAGAAAATCTTGAGTATAAGCCAAAATGTATGCCAAGGTCCAAGTAGTCTGCTGGCAGTAGCAGCTATAGTCTTGGGTGTGTATATTGAATAAAACATTTTATGATTTTATGAAATTACTTTCCAAATAAGAAAGTTCTGGGGGTTACACAGCTCCAAGTGCTCCGATCACCACGGGCACCACTGATGCTTTCACCTTCCAGGCCTTCTCCTCCTTGAGCCCCTGGTATTTCTAGTTTCTCATGTTCCTCTTTCCTTATATTGCCATCACTTGGTATTGCAATAACCACTACCACGGCTTTGTTCTGTTTTTTATCCACCACCACTATGTCCGGTTGGCTCACCATTCACTATCCTGTCAGTCTGTATCTGGAAGTCCCACAGGATTTTGGCTCGGTCATTCTCCACATCCTTTGGAGGTGTTTCCCACCTTGATCCTGGAGTCTCCAGCCCGTATCCTGCACAGATGTTTCTGTACACTAGGCCCACCACTTATGTTATGTCGCTCCACGTATGCTTTCCCTGACAGCATCTTACACCCTGCAGTTATGTGCTGGACTGTCTCAGGAGCCTCTTTGTTCAGCCTACACCGTGGGTCTTCTCTGGTGTGGCAGATTTAAGACTCTATTGCTCGAGTACTCAGGGCCTGCTCCTGTGCAGCTAGGATCCTCTGTGCTGTCCAAGCCATTGGTAGGATTTCTTGATTACATATATATATATATATATATATATATATATATATATATATATATATATATATATATATATATTATATATATATATATATATATATATACTTACATAAAATGCTCTTATTAATTATACAAATCAATGTCAGTGTAAAAATATGTATATTTCCATTAGAGATTAACTATAACATATTCAACAAAAACAATACATGCATTTGCTTTACCATCTACAAAGCTTTTTACACTAACACAGGCTAAGTGCCTTCACTCAAGGTTTACAGCTGCTAACAAAGGCCATATTCAGTTTGCTTGTGCAGACTCTTAATGTCGGCACTTATGTGAGGCCCAGTTATCACCCTCTTAAAACCACCACTGTACTGACACTTAACTATTGATGGAATGTGACTTTGTCCAGGCATGTCTCACAGATTCTCCTTCAGTTTACAAGTTTCAATTCTTCTTTTCACCAGGAGATGGTACTATAAGCCTACCAAACTTACACTACACTACAAATGCTCACTGTTATATCAGCTGTAGTACTCTAATGGTAGATTGTTTCAAGTAGGCCTATATACATTTAGCGTTTTTTTTATTATTATTATTACTTTTGTGGTAGGTCAAATAAAATATATATTGTAGAAATTTAAATGGCAACATATTTTAGGGATGTTGTTATGAACTAATATATTTTTCTTGGATTTTTTGTTCCATTTTTGTTTATTATGAAAAAAGAAACATTCCCAACCTATTATAGCCAATCATCTATTAAAATAAATACAAAATAAGATAACATAAGATAACCTCTATTTGGCCCCAAATAAAATTCTAGTATTTACAAAGTTCTGAAACAGCAGTATAATGGAAATGATCTGTAATCAAAATTAAGACAAAAAATGTACATCACATAAAAATACAAAGCTTCAAATTGAAAGTGGAAGTGAAATAAAATTGTAAAACAGGTAAAAGTGTTTGCATTCAATTAAGTATCAAGATGATTCTATCTTGTCCATATAGCAAATGAGTGCTAATTGTTATTTCTGGTAGGTTTAACCACGACAAATTACTCACGCTCTCATGACACACCGCTGATTGTATTTCAGAGATGACAATTACAAAATCCTCCTCCACAGGTAATGTGTGTGAGATTGACGCTGGTCTTGAGGCTGTGGACTGAAGCTGTTGAACTTGTTAGCCTACTATATTGATTTATCTTTCAATATATGATAGACAGAATTACAGGTGCGTCAACTTGTATAAAACAAGAGTCATGTTGAAAATGGTGGGACATGATGGAACAGACTTGAGAAATTTATGATCATAAACAATAACTAAAATATAACTACATATATAACTAGATCATATAACTAAGTCATGTGATTTAGAGTTTAACATTAGATGTACTACTTAGTAAAGACCAAAAGGCTTGATTCCTGTGTAACTAGAAAAATAAATAGGGCTTTTAGGTTGGTTTATTTAAAGGGACAATGCATATTAATGAACATACAATGTAAATATGCCAGAAATAGTCCAATGGTTATTTTCCGTATGTAGTCAAGAGACAACATTTAGCATTCAATAACAAACAGACACTAAACATTGAGAGTTGAATAAAAACATTTAAGACCACAGATCTGGTTCTTCTTAAGCCAACCTTTCAGGTTCATTTTAAAAGTGTTCAATGTGAGAGTGTCTGTGAAAGCAGCTGGGATACCTCGAGTACAGACTCTGGTTACAGTTTTGTTTCAGATCTGAATAGAAAAAAATCATTAAGAGGTGTCACTTAAAAAACTTAAATACTTATATTTTTGAAGTGGTGGTGGTGGTGAAAAGATTAGAGATTCTTATGATTTCAACTAAGAAACAGTATTCTCTGAAAAAAAAAAAAAAAAAAAAAAAAGAAATTAGTTCACCTTGATAGTAATATTTAGTGGTCAACCATATCAAATTTTTAAATGAAGAAAAACAGCATCCACAAGGTCATGTTTTACATCCAGCATCCAGATAATTTTGTATTTTGTTTATTTCACTTTCCACTGTGTAATTGGCAAAGTAGTACATTTTTCATATCATTTTTATTCCCAGACCTAAATAACAGGGATAATTGAGATGGGAACAATGGAACTTCCTGCTGCTTGTAAGTTATGAGTAATTGGACTCATCAGAATGTCTTTGTGTACCTTTATGAAGTTTGTATCTAGACCATAGACATCTTGACTTATGGAAATTCTTAAATCTTATTTAAATCTAGGCTACTTCAGACTTTTTAATCTTAAAAATACGTAAATCTCATTTACCAAGAAAGTGATATTCTCATATGATGTAAAAAGTTTTATAATTTCATATATGGAACTTTTATTTAAAAATAAGTATTAAATTCAGAAGCCACAACAACTTTCATCAGTTCATTGTTATTATGTCAATATTATGATATTATATGTATTATGTTTACCTTTTCTTTGCACTACGTTATTCATGGGTTTCAACTCTCTGTAATATGCAATTGTTTTGAGGGCCTTTTCCCATTCAAAAGATATAATCATTGCTTTTAAATTGTTAATCATTATGGACAAAAGTTTTAGAATAAAATTCACTATAAAACCTTTGTCTAGTTGACAAAATGTAATTTTCTTTTACCGTGTAACCTACCTGTCCTGGACGACTAAGGGATTACACAGAAAATATGGCTATGCTACTAATTCCTCATTATTCTGAAAAATATGGATAGTCATTTTTTAAATTTTTTTTTACTCTGTGACTCATTATATGTGCCAGCTATTTTCACTGTGCTGTTTAATTATTTCAGCTCAGTTTTTTTTTATGATATTGCATTAAAGGGTTTATCCACTTGGGTTCTCCAGCATTAAGGTTACATGGTCTGTCTGGCTAATTTACATGTGTGACTAAAACACTGCAGCTATGAGGCTTGTCATAGTTTAACAGAAGGATACTGTATGTGTTCATAATAATCCTACTAATATTATTCGCTATATAAGTAGGCCTATTTGATTAACTTTCAACAAATTTTAATTTCAATGCTAAAGCCTCTTTCCACCCTGGAGGCAATTTTAAATTTTAAAAGCAATAAGTACCAATTAAAACTTAAAGTCATATCTTAGGTCCAATGACTTTTCTTGGCAGCCATACAAAATTTCCATTTGAATTACCTTGTGTACTATATTAGGCTTTCTGTATTTTTTGGACTCACACTAGAGACATTTGTGTACTAATATGATGGGGGATTAAGGAGAACTGTGATAAAAAGTGGTTCAATGATTTGTTATGGTTTGATCGGTATAAACATCAAGTAATCATGTCACTTCCCTTTGTGAAGGAAATTTGAAGTTGTGTGTGAGGTTTAAACACAAGAAAGAAACAACAACAACAACAACAAAACAAACAAACAAACAAACAAAAAAAAAAAAACAGTTAAACAACTTGTGTCACAGCTCACAGCAAAGGAAGTTGAAGGTTCACTTCCAAGGCTGCTGTGTGACTGTTGTCCCTATGAGGAACCACCTATTATAACTTCCAATGTGGAATTCTTAACTCTGACTTGCACATTGATCTACCGTGCTTTGACAGGTCTTTAATAAGTATAATATATATTTAGTATGTGGGGCTGGTGTATGATGGGTGTAATGATGGATGCAAGAAGGTCCAGCTGTAGGATTTAACTGCAAAGTTGAAGAAATAATTAAAAGCTCAATTTGCATCTCCAAGTGAAAGTACTTTGAAATAAATAAGCAAAATATCCTCCCCTGAACTGAATAGTGAAAAAGCATGTCCTTATATGCAATTCATCAGAAACCAAGATATATATATATAGGAAGTTATAATAGGTGGTTCCTCAACGTTTATCTACAAATACAGGCTATTTGTACCACTTTCAACATGCAGCGTGGACTGTTTTGCCCTTTTTGTTATGTATTTAGAACCAGCAAGACATATTCCTCGACGTGCATAGAGAGAATATCGCGCGTGATTCTTTGTATTCTTTTGGAGAAACTTTGCGCGTGTGCTTGTGCTGCGAGTTGCTCGTGCCAGGGTGGAGGAGCACTGTGGGAAGCGCCTGGTCCTGAGTCAGTCAGCAGTGAGCCTGGAGCAACGCGCGCAGTACTACTCCAGCCTCCCTCTCTGTCAGACCGCTGCAAACTTCAAACCAACATCTGAGACGGCTACTTTGCATAAAATGAGAGGAACGTCTTGATGGATTGGCCCTTTGGGAAAGTGGATTGTACAGAAAGGAAAATGCGCACAGACTGGATTACCACAGGATGAAGAGTTTTGGGAAGCGTGTTTTATAACGTTTGGTGTAATTTTGCTGAACCAAGGCTACAATGGAGAATGTGACTATGTCTAACCTAAGTGTGGATAGTAACACAACAGTGCTGGGTAACCAGACCTTGGGCGTTTGGACGGACTACACAACCGAATACAAAGTGGCAAGCATCTTTTTAGTGTCTCTTATCTGCGGGGTTGGGATAGTTGGTAATATTATGGTCATATTGGTAGTTTTGACCACGAAACACATGCGGACTCCCACAAACTGTTACCTAGTGAGCTTGGCCGCGGCTGACCTGATGGTGCTGACTGCGGCTGGACTGCCCAACATCACGGACGCGCTTTACGGCGAGTGGGTCTACGGTTACGCAGGGTGTTTGGGCATCACGTATTTTCAGTATTTAGGGATAAACGCATCATCTTGCTCCATCACTGCTTTCACCGTTGAGCGCTATATTGCTATCTGTCACCCTATTAAAGCCCAATTCTTGTGCACTTTGTCCAGAGCCAAAAAGATTATAATGGTGGTTTGGGCGCTCACGTCTGCGTACTGCGTAATGTGGCTTTTCTTGTCAGATACAATAAAGTTAGTCTATGACAACGTGGTGCTGCTGAACTGCGCTTATAAAGTGTCTAGGAATTACTACCTACCCATTTACTTCACGGATTTCGCGGTGTTTTACGTGCTGCCGCTCATGCTGGCCACTGTTATGTATGGACTAATCGGCAGGATATTATACCTCAACCCACTGCCCTCGGACCCGAAGGGCAACACCCAGAAGTGGAAGAAAGAGACCACCAGCCAAGGCGCACGAATGGTCAGCACCAACTCCTCTAGCTCCACCACGGCAGCTTCACGCAGACAGGTGAGACTCATTCATACTGTGTCAATCATTACTGGAAATGTCAAGACCAAAGACTTTTTATTTGGTGAGCATAAACAACATTCAAATATGCGGACACTGAGCTCACGTTTGCCGTTTATCAGAATGTATTATTTATAGTAATTTATTGCTAGATTAGGCTATAACCAATTTAATAAAATGTTTAATATCACTAGGGGCTGACCCTTTGACTGTTGGTGATTACTGAATCCCTGTTTTACCACACTTTACTTCCAAAATCGACATTGTTGTAGTCGTATGACATAATCCTTAACACCAACACATGTAACCCACTAAGTTGTATACACACAGAGGAGCTGCATGTTCGTCACTCAGAGCTTTGTGGGATGACAGAGGTGTCCATCACACCAGCCCTGCAGGCTCCACTGTTCAGTGTCATCAATTAATCTCAAATTTACATGTTTTTAGCTTTGGTTTCTGTTCTGTAGATCTGGTTTTGTTTTACCAATCAGCTCTCACAACATGAACCATACTATCTACAATGCCTGTAAATGAATTAACTGAAGGTCACAAACTAATGAAGATATTAGATTGGTTGTTTGGTTGTCCAGCAGGGGCCTAACCAATCCAATTAGGCTCACCGCTTCAGAGGTGAAATGGCAACATTGGGGGATTTAATTACACTCTAAATTCATTTCTGGATTAGAGCTCTAGTGTTAATGGAAATGTGACCATTGATAAATTGCATGTAATGTTTTGATGTGTCTAATCAGTAACTTAAATATGTCAATAATGGTCATTTGAATAGATATATTCATGAAGCATGTGCACTTGCTCATTGTGCTCATACAGTTGTGTCAGGAAGAGCATCTGACATAAAGCATGCCATAAAAAAATATAATTATTTCAGCATTTTAAAGGCAGAAGACTTCATTTTTGTGATAACCAACTTATGTTGGGTAACTTATGGAAGAAGACATAAAGATGATTTGAAATGTTATCTGCGGTTATGTTTTAGTAAACAGGTGAGACATCTGAGTCAAAACTATTATTTTACGGCAGTTCAGTTATTATTAATTAATTAATATTATGTTATTAATGTGTACAAAGCTGTTAAACACAAAACAGACAAAGAAGTTGGTCATCCATCAACTGAGACACAGATAGTCAGATTAAAAGTGTAATTACTTGTAGATAATGATCACTTGTCTTGTCATTGAGTCTGGGTTGTACTCAGTGGCTGTATATTTTTAATTGCTGCAAATTATACATTAAAGCTAGTGGTTTCTCACTGAAAAGAAAAAAAAATCATTATGTTAATTTTGCTTTTAGAAATCAGTGATGAAGTCTGATTGTTTAGATAATATACAATAATAATAATAATAATGCTACAATTAAAATGTAAAGTAAAGTGAGGCTAATGAGGATGTGGAGATTAACTTGCATTATGGTGTTGCTTCTGTCCCTATAGGCAATGAGTAAAACAGTTTTAAACAAAATAAATATAAAGATACATATGTATTCAGCGGAAAACAGCAGCTGGTTTGGCGAGGGAGATATGGAATTTGAAAAGCCTTTTACTTGAATTGTGCGGTATGTGCCATATGCTCAAATTAAAAATAGATTATTTTAATTGAATAATTTTTACACAGTGGCAAAACTGACTCACTTGATTGATTGAAGCATAGTCTGCATCATAGCTCTAGGCTAAATATTCACTTTTGATTACCAAATTTTAAAAAAAGTTCAGTTAGCTTGTTTCTATGACCTGGTTTGCAGCAATATCCAGCTGTGAAGACCTTGCTAATTATTCCCCTGTTGATTGCTGATTGCACTGATAGTCTGACAGTCTATAGATAAAAGCAGTCTTTTCAGTGCCATACAGACAGACTTTATTTTGAATTGCTCTGAACATGATTAATACAATTTTGTAGTTGTACATTTTTTTTCACCAGATACCATATGTTAAAAAGTAACAAAAAGTTTATTTTCAAATGAGCTTTATTTTACCTTTATTTTACCAGGCAAAACATTATGAACATTTTTTTTTACCATGTTGGTCAAGGTCACTTAAAGGGAAAGGAATACTTAAGTGTTTAAAAAGTTTTCAAATTTAGCACATGCATCCTAGGATGGAGTAGTAAATTATGAAGTTACCGTAATTACTTCCCATTACTGCATGGAGAGACATTTTATTTACCTTTTTATGTATAGGTAACAAAGATGCTTGCTGTGGTGGTCATCCTCTTTGCCTTGCTCTGGATGCCCTACCGGACCTTGGTGGTGGTCAACTCCTTCCTGGACGATGCCTACCTGGACACCTGGTTCCTGCTCTTCTGTCGCCTCTGCATTTACCTCAACAGTGCCATTAACCCCGTCATCTACAACGCCATGTCCCAGAAGTTTCGCTCTGCTTTTCAGAAGTTGTGCCACTGTGGACCTCAACGAATTGAGAAACCTGCCACTTACAGCTTAGCCCTGACCTATAGTGTGATAAAGGAGACATCCAATGGGGAAAGCCCTGATCACTTCACCACAGAGATGGATGAACTGCACACGCCTATGGATCATTACATATCCAACAAGAAAGTACAATATGGTGAAGCTGGATTACCGGGAAGTCACGTAAAAACCTGAATGAAATAGACAAAGGTATACATGAACCACTAACACAGCTTAATGTATATGGAAAATGCGTTTATATGGGGAACATTACTCTCAAGTCATGCAGTGAACAAAAAGTTATGGGTGGATATCATAGACTGTAAGAAGAAGTGTACATAGTGAGTGTGACATCACCAATAGTGTTCGGTCCAGTGAAATGAAGCTCACATGGCTAGAAGTTACAGGAGTGAATTTGAAGCTCATTAGGAGTATGAATTTATGTACAGACAAAATAACAAAATAAAAACACCAAGATCATGTAGACCATGTTAATACAAACATTTCAAGACCAAAATGAGTTAGAGTTAGAGTTTGACAATTTGATGTAAAGTCAACTGGAGCCAGAGTCAATGGAGACTCAGGAACAGGTCAGGACTTACCTACTGGTAATGCAGCAGCTAGCGGGTTAGCTATGTCCATTTATATATACAATCTATGGTGAATATTTACTGATAACATGTTTGAAACTTATAGGCTAAGAACATGTACGGTCTGTTATTCTCTAAATACTGATTGAGTTGAGGGCAACTTGGGACCCAAAAAGGGGAATCCCAACGTTAGTTGAACCAGACCTAGTCAAGTGTTCTTGGCTATATAGAGCTCATATTTTCCAGAAAAACTGAGGGACATTCAAGATGGACTGGTATATAGTTTCTTTCTGTTTTTCAACATTAAGGTGTACTATGGAGGTCTGTCACCTGCTTGTTTCCATGGATATGCAACTGCCCTGCCTTACATTTATTCAGTTACTGGTCATTAATAATAATAATAATAATAATAATAATAATAATAATAATATAATATCAGCAACAACAACTACTACTACTATTACTATTATTATTATTATTATTATTATTATTATTATTATTATTATTATTATTATTATTATTATTATTATTATTATTATTATTATTATTGAGAAATAAGCATTTTGACTGTGAGCAGGGTTGCGTCTCTACAGATGGTTTGGTCTCCATGAAGATAGAAAGGTTTAATACCACACTGTGAAACATTCCAGACAAAGCAAAAACATCTCCATGAAGAAAAGCATTTGACAGACCCATCACCAGAAAAGACACAATGCACCTTCAAGGTCACCAGATTTGGTTATGTCTTTAAATTCAAAGACAAATTAACCTAAAAACAGAAGACATCACTAATGGCACTGAGCATAGTAATTTGATATAACCCAGACCTACCTTTGTTGCAACCAAATTACATCCTAAAGAAATGCATGAGAGACCACAGGCTCTTGCTTCCTTTGCATGATGAATAGTGTTATTACATTCTTCCCAACATCCTCTCCCATTGTTTAGGAAAATGTGATATTTAACATGCAAGTACCATTCTGGCCTTTTACACAGACAAAAATCAATGATTTCCGTTACATGAAGAAACCATGAAGTCCAGATGGAAAAAAAAAAAAAAAAAATAAAATAATATATATATATATATATATATATATAATATATATATATATATATATATATATATATATATATATATATATATATATATATATATATATATATATACAGCACTATGACATGTTCATCTCACCACTGGAGAGCCAAAGAAATAGGCTATATGACGTTTTAATACAGGCCTTAATACTTAAAGGGCCCAATATTCCAGAAATAAAACCAAAGAAAATTACTTGGCATGGTGAAATGAACCAGCGGGGGACTTCAGTCTTAAAAGTCAAACACAAGTCGAACGCTGCATGATACTTTGGTCATGTGGGGATCTCCAGGGGGCGCTGTGAAGGTCACTAGCAGCTATGTAATGAGTTAAAGAAGTGTGTGTGTGCAATATATAAGGGCACAGAGGCTGTTAGTGAAAGGGTCAGTGGTCTGTTATGGCATGTCATTCTCTGGTACAGGCTGAGGCGGCAGACTGTGGATCCCTATCATTGATTTATCAAGCAAGGAGCAAGAACTGATAGTGTAAATATAAGGCCACAAAGTGCTGTACTCCAGGGTGCCCCAGTGCAATTTATGTATATAGCTCACCTTGCTATTAAAAGAAGAAATTACTCCAATGTATGTGAGGTTTAAACTGAGTAACACTAAAAGGACAGGCAGACTGAAAAAGGACCTGCTTCAGACCGAAAAGCTATCTAGTATAAAATAGCTAGAAATTGATTGTGCAGTGCAATGTGAAATTTCAATATTGTGTGTTTTTTTTTAATGTGTGATCAAAAATGTTTTCTTCAAATGAAGCCTTCTCAGTGGAAAGTAAACATGAAAAGCTATTTGCACAGTGATGGCCAAATTATTAGATGGCAAAAATGAAAAGGTTAACCTTTTTGCCTCCCAAAGCGCAATTTGATTTTATAAAAGAACCTGCAGCTCATAAAACTGTCTGATGGAGTTAGCTCTTCTCTTCCTTTGGTGTCTTTAGAGCTTTTCTAATTTGGTGTGTATTCCTAGTATATTGGCCAAACCCATGTATATACTCTGACACACAAGTACAATAGTGGGGTCTATTTTATTATGGCTTCACATATGCTTCTAATTGGGTGGAGGACATGTCTTTCCCTTGATATACAGTGTCTGACCGCCACTGTGGTCTGTTCATAATATGTCTGTTTTTGTGCACTTTTTGCTTTCTCTATTCTCTTTGATTGGTGATCTGCCAAACAAACGTTGCTGTGAATGTTAAAATAAAGTATTTGTTGTGTACATTTTGAACAGAAATGTTTATGTTGTGAGCACAACCACACACACTTTACCTGCTTTTATTGTTGAATGGATTGTTCAGTATTTTGTATTGTCTATAATAAACTTGTACAATTGCACAAGATTCTGGATGCTTTGTCCATCTTCCTCCTTTTGTTTATCATAAGTCCCTGCACCTACAGCACTGCAGATACATCAGCAGCAGGGACAAAATTGTCCAGTACTCTCCCATGATTCATAGACATAGATTGTGTATGAGCTACGAGCACCCTCTTCTCGTGTATCATTGGCTGACTGCTCCAATCCGCAGTCACTCAGTATGTGGCAGACAACTTCAACAAAAGATTAATTTCACCAAGGCTGTCTAAGCCAAACAATATGTCAGCCCCACAGTTTATGGTCAGCAGTAGAAACCCCTGACTCATGAAATCATAATGACGCATTTGACTGATAATGATGAGGGGAGAGAAGATATGAGCTCTATACTCACTACAGTTTTCTAGGTAGAAGGTGGGAAGGTAAATGATGATTTATTGTATCATTATTGCCTGTTACATTTTGACAGTTTTTTTGATGTTGGTAAAAATACCAAAATGATCTATACTTGAAAAGATTCTGACAGTGGAACATAACACACAAAAATTATAATTATGTAGCATGCAGTGTGAATACCAGTTTGGCATAGAGGTTGTATATATAGCTGAATTTGCAAAATATACCCATTAGAAGTGTACAATTCAACACAACTGTAACCTTAAGCCATGTACAATATAAAGCAATGCACTGTGAGACAACCATGAGCTTTCACATGCATTCACTATGGCCAATTAGGAATTACCATTATCAGTCCAACCAAGCAATGCAGGACTCTTGGAAGCTCAAGTCTCCCATGCCACAATGCACCTCTGTATATAGCTGCCCTAAGCATCTTTGTAACCTTTAATGCTCATTTCTGGCTTCAGATCCTTGTTCATTTGTCTGCTCCTGTTGCCCCGACATTATCAAATTATGTTTTTGATGACAATGGTGAACAACAGAGGAAATGATGCTACACTAAAAGCCTTGACATCAGCCCAAGTTCATGAATTTGCATGAGCCAAGATCATTTTCTTCTACACTGGATCTCAAGTATTCGCTCTCATATCTCCCTTTCAGCTCATTTCCACGCTTCTTAATTCATTGAGCCATTGTCTAAATAATTAGGCCTGTACCCATGATACAATGCACACTGGATGAGTTTTATACAGCAAAGCATCATCTCTGTGGTAGGTTAAAGGGCCCATATTAAGCTATTTTCTGATCAATGTTAAAATGCTGTTTCCTCACCAAAAACATACCTGGAGTTGTGTTTCAGTAACACATTTTGTAAACACTCAAAATTCCCTCAGACTGAAAACGCTGCTCCACCTTGTGATGTCATGTGATGGATGTCAAGGTGTATGGATAATTTGAGCCCTAGTATAACCAATCTTTACTGAACAAAAGATAAAAGATAGCTATTAACTTTAAAACTACTGGTTCATGACATCACAAGGTGGAACTGAGCATTTTGAGCTTTGGAGATGTAGACAGACTAATAAAAAAAGGTTATAAAGGATTACTCAACCATGTGTGAATGAAACAAAACACAACCCCAGGTATATTTTGGAAGAGGTAACATCTCACAACATCAATTTTGTGTGATATGGGACCTTTAATAAGACCTTTAAGATGGAAATGTTTTAATTACATACACATACAACTGTTTATGTCTGAAGTTAGTAAGAGAAAAACAATTTCAAAATATAAATGTAATTCTTCAGCAGTGCCTGAGCTGTTGTTTGTTGAAAGCTACACAAGTCCTAATCCATTCACTGAAGTCTGTGGAGGGATTCAGTCTCAAACAGCCTCGCCTCTAAATGTGAATTCTAAGGCAGAGGATTAAATTCATCAGTAAAATTAAATAAAATAAACTTAAAAATGAAATGATGTTCAACAAAAAAAAAAAAAAAAATGTTGTTAAAATTGAAGACATGCAACTGACTTTTATTTATGTATTTATTTAATTCATAAAATATAAAAATACATAAACAGTACAAAACATACAAAAAAATGAATGAAAATTCACAGAAAGAAGAGTAAGCCCCTTTTCCAGACAATACATTAACCCTGATAGCTATTTTAAACCAACATCAATGTATTTTAGGGGTGTAACAATATCCAAGTCTCATGATACGATATCGTCACGGTTTGAACCTCACAGTATGATATTCATTGCGATGTCATGGAAAAGCTCACGATATGGTGGGGAGGCTCATGATTAAGGATGCAGTAATATCTAAATCTCTTGGTATGATTTTCAGGATATTCATCTCATGGTACGATATTTATTGTGATACTTTATGGAGGCTAATAAAACTGTTAATATGCTATGTTTTCCTCTTAAAATGCCTTGACAAGACTTAATCCAAAGAACTAAGACTTAAAAGTGCTTAGAACTGTTATTTTTTTCATGTAGTCTACACTGAAATGGAGCAAAGGATCATGGTCTATGTAGTTCCCGCTGTCTTTTTGTCTGTCTATTGCTGCATCATATCTCTTAATTTAAGCAAAGAGACTTGTAATTCAATATATTGATAAGATACGATATCACAATATTTCGGTTATTGTTACATCCCAAATATATTTCATTTCAATAACAAACATGAATCCATAGAGAAAGAGAGAAACAAACAGACCCTTATGTTTTTGACCAGCATCTCAGAACAGTTACATGCAAAATAATTACTTTGGACATGCTTTTACACAATGAAAGCTTAAGATCCCACGATGCCACTTTTTGTTAGATTTGAAGTATTTTTTTTCCTATAAAGATTGGAGCTGTGGTGGGATCAGCAAAAACAAGGTTGAGGAGATAATACAGGCGAATGTTTCCATCACTGCAGCCAATCAGACAGAGCATAAAGAGACCGAGGCAGCTTGGAAGAAGACCCTAATCACAGCTTCATTCTCTCCACAAGAGCTGCTCGGCATCAGACATGTCAAAGGACGATGATCCAGTGAAGTGAGTAGCTCATAACAGTTTGTTGCTGAAGAGCTGGTTATTTGTAGAACTAGCTTTGAAGTGAATAGCATATATGTACTCAAACGCAAACATATAGGTCCCTGATGCACACTATTAAGGCTCAGCAGTGATGAGGTAAGAGATTTTTAAAATACAAAATTAACAAAATCGAAAGTTAACTCCTCAAAATCATACACCATGTTGTGTTTTGGTTCATTCACACATGTTTAAGTGCACCTTTATTATTAATATGTACATCTCCAAAGTTCTAAATGCTGTATTCCACCTTGTAATGTCATGAAACCATGTCATGAACAGCTCCTTTTACCTTTTCCTTAGAAGAGATTGGCAATTCCAAGGCTAAAATGATCAAAATAATTCTATGGAGTTTAAAAACACAGAGCACTTCCTGTATTACTGCATGGCATCAACAGCAACAAAGACCAGAGTGTTTTCCGCTTAAGATAAGAATTAAATATGCAGGGTTTGTGTGTTAAACATGTGAATGAAACAAAACACAACTCTTGGTATGTTTGTGATGAGGACACAACATAACATAGATCAGAAAATAGTGTAAGCCAGGCCCTTCAAGCATTTTCAATTCCACATCCATACACCACAGCTATAACATTGAGCTACTGTTACCATTTTGTTGAGTATTTTTGTCTCATATCAAGTGTCTGCAGTCACCGTTATGAGCAGAACTGTTGAGATGTGACAAGAAATCATGAGGGACTGCAGGGAGAGAGAGAAAGAGAGAAAAAGAGAGAGAAGCAGACAGTGGTTTACTTGGTTAGTTTACTCCCATTACTAACTGAAAAAACAAGTACTCTCCATGTTTTCAAACAGTCCAGAACTCTACCTCATTAACCCTCACTCTCTCTGCCCTCTAACCTCCACACAACTTTGTGAATACTTCTCACGTAGGCTTTAGCTCTGTACACTGCAGGCTGATCCCCCTCTTACAATGCAGTGTTATTGCATGTTATGCTACACAGCCTTTAGTTCACACTCTCTTCTTACAGGTATAACACATACGTAACACAATGGCAATTGCAGTGGAACCCATTTTCTGTCTCTGTAAGTTCAGTTTCACTTTAATGACAATACAATAACAATATTGTGAGCAAAATCAAGTTATTGTGACGAGAAGCCTTTGCTGTGACATTTAAATAAGTTGAAAGGTGTAATTAATCTAAACAGCAAAAACAAATGTAGTGGTAATGGGAGTCCTCTGTAGTGTGTTATTTGTTCAGCTGCTGCTACATTTTGGTCTGTACATGTGAAAAGTGTCATATGGATGTGTGGTTTACGCCTGGTCATGTATCCTTTATCTTTATCTGTTACCTCTGCCTGTACAGTGTAAATACCATTGACCTACTACATGATTTTTGGACCATTTCACCCAATTACATGCTATTTCTAGATACCATAACAAGTTTGGAACATTTTCACTTGGACTTTGAAGCACAGTTTTTGACTTTTCTTGATTATTTCCCAAGGCCCTTTTATGATTATTTCTTTCTTTCCCACTCAGACATATTTTGGTTGTGCAAGGGTTATAAATGTGAACTCACCTGAATATGTATTCTGTGAAATCATGCTACTTATATAAAAAAAGCCATTCATTTGATAAAAGCAGTGGTTGCAGTATCAGCAAAACACACATTTTGCACTTAATAGTGTTAATATTAGATGTTAGCAATATCTGTGCCTCAACATAATGATATATTACTACTACTTCACCAGATTCTGGCTAACCACTATTTACTTTTGGTCTACAGCAACTGACTAATGACCAGCAGGTATTTCATAAAATGCTGAGAAGTAACTTTAGGTTTTTCATTTCATTCTACATTTCCATGAAAAACAGACTGGAGTGACAGCCGGTTCTGCTGCCCAGTAAAAATAAACCAAAACAAACCTTGGGAGAAGCACATTCAAATATTTATCATCATTAACATTTAAGAAAAAAAAAGTGTGGTTTGTTTAAAACCATTTCACTGATTTACTGGCTTAAAGGGCCCATACTATACTATTTTCTTAAAAAGGGTTACTCAAAAATGTGTGAATGAAACAAAACACAACTTAGAGGGTTTTTGGGGAGGTAACAACATGGCTCAAAGCTCCTAAGAGACAATTTTGCATAATATTGGACCTTTAAATTTGCCTGGAAAAATCCAGACTCATATGGATTTGTATAACAAATACAGAGAGATATCCTTCTGGATTTCCAGGCAACCTTTAAATAATTAGCTTTAATATTTATTTTTCCTATGTAAATGAAGATTCTTTTACACAAAAGTGGAAAACATAATCCGGTGACATTTTAATCAACTCCTTAAAATGTCAAGGGCTTACCAGTTGACACCTGTACAGAGGAGTCATGAACCTGAACAGCACTAATATAATATTGTGTGAGCTATCTGTTGTGGCACAAAAGCAGTGTTTAAACCTGATTGATTGTGACTTCACTGGGTTTACTAACGGCTGGCTTTACCTTGGCCTAGCTTCACTGCACATCCACACATCAGAGACAAGGCCATATATCTGGTTCAATAAGTCAATACATATTTGTGCATGTCTCTTTAATAACCAAAGGCTTACAGCACAAGTGGACCATTTGTCATGTAATGTCTTTATTGGCAGGAAAACACAAAGGTGGAGTCAACATTTTGTTGCACTAATCGCACGTTTCAGTTATGCATACAGTACATGCAGAGTTATATTTAAAAGGTCCATATTACACTATGTATTGATCTATATTATTATCTTGTTTCCTCAACAAAAACATATCTGGAGATGTGTTTGTTTCATTCACACATGCCTACAACCCTGCATATTTAGGCTGAGTTCTTCTCTCAAACTGAAAACACACCTCATGATGGCATGTGGTAATACACTTACGTTTTACACTGTGTTGTTAAACTCCATGCACCACTGAATTATTTATATAATTCCAGCGCTGGAATTGCCAATCTCTACTGAAATAAAGATAAAAGGTAGCTGTTAACCTGAAAACAACCGCTTCATGACAACCCAACATGGAACAGAGCAAGCTTTGGATGTAGACAGACTAATAATGCAGAATTACTCAAACATCTGTGAATGAAACAAAACACAACTCTGGGTATATTTTTCAAATGAGAGATTTAGATCCCCTCCTTGAACCGTCACCTTATCGTGGTGGAGGGGTTTGAGTGCCCGAATGATCCCGGGAGCTATGTTGTCGGGGGCTTCATGCCCCTGGTAGGGTCACCGAAGACAAACAGTTCCGGGGGGATGGGTCAGACGAAGAACGGTTCAGAAGTCCCTATGATGAGTATACCAGCAAGGCCAGTTACGTTGCCCGGATTGGCGTCACCAGGGCCTCACCCTGGAGCCAGGCCGGGGGTGGGTGCTCACCAGTGAGCGCCTGGTGGCCGGGCCTTCCCCCACGGGGCCTGGCCGGGCTCAGCCTGAAGGAGCGACGTGGGGCCGTCCTCACGTGGGCCCACCACCCGCAGGAGGATCCATATGGGGCCGGGTTAGAGAGATCTGGGCAGCAGATCTCCGGACATGGAGACTAGCTCTGGGGACATGGAATGTCACCTCGCTGGGGGGGAAGGAGCCTGTGCTTGTGCGGGAGGTTACCGACTGGATATAGTCAGCCTCACCTCCACGCACAGTTTGGGCTCTGGAACCCAACTCCTTGAGAGGGGCTGGCGTTGGCCGTGGGGAGCGGTGGCAGGCTGGTGTGGGCTTGCTCATTGCCCCACAGCTCAGCCACCGTGTGTTGGAGTTCATCCCGGTGAACAAGAGGGTCGTGTCCCTGCGCCTTCTGGTCGGGGACAGGTCTCTCACTGTGGTGTCAGCCTAACAGCAGTGCAGAGTAATTGGCCTTCTTGGAGTCCCTGGGAGGATCTCCTCAATCCCACCGACACATCTTCCGAGAAGTAAGCCGAGGCTGGGGACTCGGAGGCGGACTTGTTCATCACCCTGGCTGAAGTCACTGAGGTGGTTGGCACACTCCTTGGTGGCAAGGCTCCGGGGGTGGATAAGATCCATCCTGCGTATCTTAAAGGGATAATTCAGGATTTTTGACATAAATCTGTATGGCATCCCCGTGAGCAGTGTCGTGCATCCACACTGACTTACTTACCCCTGACAGTGTCTGGTGAGCCGAGATACTGGCCGTTTTCGGTGCTGACGAAAGTCCGGCAATTTGGCTGGGGACAGTATAATAAAGCGTTTTTCTTCTCAAAACAATATGTGTTCAAAAGAGTGATACATTTGCATCACAAAACGAAAAATGATACAAACGGAAAGAAAATAGTGCCAAGCGATTATGAGGTCTGACTTTTTAGGCAACGATGGTTTTGTGAAGCAAATGTATCACTCTTTTTAGAAAACGGCCAGTATCTCGGCTCACCGGACCCTGTCAGAGGTAAGTCAGTGTGGATGCACTGCTCACGGGGATGCCATACAGATTTATGTCAAAAATCCTGAACTATCCCTTTAAGTCTCTGGATGTTGTGGGGCTGTCTTGGCTGACATGCCTCTTCAACATCGGGGCAGTCGGGGACAGTATCTCTGAACTGGCAAACCGGGGTGGCGGTCCCTCTGTATATGAAGGGGGACCGGAGGGTGTGTTCCAACTACAGGGGATTCACACTTCTCAGCCTCCCTGGTAAGGTCTATTCCCAGGTAATGGAGAGGAGAATCCGACTGATAGTCGAACCTCGGATCCAGGAGGAGCAGTGTGGTTTTCGTCTTGGCCGTGGAACACCGGACCAGCTTTACACTCTCCATCGGGTGCTTGATAGTTCATGACAGTCCACATGTGCTTTGTGGATCTGGAGAAGTCATTCAACCATGTCCCTCATGGTGTCCTGTGGGGGGTGCTCTGGGAGTATGGGGTTCGGGGCCCTTTGCTAAGGGCTGTCCGGTCCCTGTATGATCGGAGCAGGAGCTGTGTTCGCATTGCCGGCAGTAAGTCAGACCTGTTCCTGGTGCATGTTGGAC